GTGTGTAGTAGAGAGATGTATGAATGTGTGTAGTAGAGAGATGTATGAATGTGTGTAGTAGAGAGATGTATGAATGTGTGTAGTAGAGAGATGTATGAATGTGTGTGTGGATGTACAAACCGTTTTTCAAAAAAGTTGGGACACTAAACAAACTGTGAATAAAAACTGAATGCAATGATGTGGAGATGACAAATGTCAATATTTTATTCGTAATATAACATAGATGACAGATCAAAAGTTTAATCTGAGTAAATGTAACATTTTAAAGGAAAAATATGTTGATTCAAAATTTCACAGTGTCAACAAATCCCAAAAAAGTTGGGACAAGTAGCAATAAGTGGCTGGCAAAAGGAAATTGAGCATATAACGAACAGCTGGAAGACCAATCAACACTAATTAGGTCAATTGACAACATGACTGGGTATAAAAAGAGCTTCTCAGAGTGTCAGTGTCTCTCAGAAGCCAAGATGGTAAGAGGATCACCAATTCCACCATTGTTGCACAGAAAGATAGTGCAACAATACCAGAATGGTGTTACCCAGCGTAAAATAGCAAAGACTTTTAAGTTATCATCATCAACCGTGCATAACATCATCAAAAGATTCAGAGAATCTGGAACAATCGCTGTGCGTAAGGGTCAAGGTCGTAAAACTCTACTGGATGCTCGTGATCTCCGGGCCCTTAAACGTCACTGCACCTCAAACAGGAATGTCACTGTCAAGGAAATAACAGAATGGGCTCAGGAATACTTCCAGAAAGCATTGTCAGTGAACACAATCCACCGTGCCATCCGCCGTTGCCAGCTGAAACTCTACAGTGCAAAGAGGAAGCCATTTCTAAGCAAGCTCTACAAGTTCAGACGTTTGCACTGGGCCAGGGGTCATTTAAAATGGAGTGTGGCAAAATGGAAGACTGTTCTGTGGAACGATGAGTCACGATTTGAAGTTCTTTATGGAACACTGGGACGCCATGTCATCCAGACCAGAGAGGACAAGGATAGCCCAAGTTGTTATCAACGCTCCGTTCAGAAGCCTGCATCACTGATGGTATGGGGCTGCATGAGCGCTTGTGGCATGGGCAGCTTGCATGTCTGGAAAGGCACCATTAATGCAGAGAACTATGTTCAGGTTCTAGAACAACATATGCTCCCATCTAGACGTCATCTCTTTCAGGGAAGACCCTGCATTTTTCAACACCATAATGCCAGACCACATTCTGCAGCAATCACAACATCATGGCTACGTAGGAGAAGGATCCGGGTACTGAAATGGCCAGCCTGCAGTCCAGATCTTTCACCTATAGAGAACATTTGGCGCATCATAAAGAGGAAGGTGCCACAAAGAAGGCCCAAGACGATTGAACAGTTAGAGGCCTGTATTAGACATGAATGGGAGAGCATTCCTATTTCTAAACTGGAGAAACTGGTCTCCTCTGTCCCCAGACGTCTGTTGAGTGTTGTAAGAAGAAGGGGGGATGCCACACAGTGGGAAAAATGGACTTGTCCCAACTTTTTTGGGATTTGTTGACGCCGTGAAATTTGGAAACAACAGATTTTTCCCTTAAAATGAAACATTCTCTCAGTTTAAACTTTTGATCTGTGATTTGTGTTCTATTCTGAATAAAATATTAGATGTTGGCACCTCCACATCATTGCATTCAGTTTTTATTCACAATTTGTTTAGTGTCCCAACTTTTTTGGAATCTGGTTTGTAAATGAGAGCACATATTGTGTTGTAAAGAGCTTTGCGTTGCTATACCAGTAAGTCCAGTTACCATTACTGAAATGTCTCCAGTGGTTCATTAGATATTTTTTTCACTGACATGCAGAAGAAAAACATTATCACCCGCCTTTACATTTCAGAGGTGAGTGATGAACATGTGACTAATTAGTTCTGCAGGGCGGTTGCTGAGGGATTCATTTCAGTCTTTATCAGAGACAAACAGTTTGGTGGGCGATCATGTAATTACTCTGGTAGTCAAATGTGTCATGATCCAGTAAGATTAGAATAATACTCACGGTGAACAGAGGCGGTTCTTTGCTGTGAGGGTGGAAACCTTTCTGTCTACACGAGGAGATCTCATCTGTTCCTCGGTCCGTTAGCCGGAAGTAACCGATTCTGACAGGAACACCATCAGAACCGGGTCAGTGCAGAGCTCAAAGGAACCACAGCAGGTACGCTATGGGCACACGAACATGTCCACGGCGGGTTTGGACTCACTCGTTAAACTTGGGTGAGCAGACAATGGCGATGGCCTCGGGCAGCATGATCTGGTAGGAGCAGTGGGTGTGGAGGTCCACGCTGGACAGGAAGGCCGTCTGTGTGGGGTGAGTCTGGAAACACAAAGGAAGCGCAGAGGGCCACCCCGGCTTTACTTCATGTCGGCTGGAAGTCGAGGCGGAGAGCAGGACTGCGTCACGCTGCAGTTTCACTCAACACGTCATAAAAACAAGAAGCTCTTGTCAAAAACAAATCATCCTATTTTCCTGTGAGCACGCTCTCTTCCTGAATGAGCTGCAGCTCCGCCTCCCACCGGAGACGAACCGCGAGGGGGCGCAGAGCGCGCGACCCATTCAGAGCCAAAACATTTAACAAAACAGCATGTGGAGCGGATGCTGTCACTCATAAACGACAGATTATTTATGAATTAGTTCGTAGTTTAGAAAGAGAAGGACGGTTTCTTTACTCCTCTGAAACGAGCGTGAGCTCCGTTTACAAAACGACCGGCGGTCAGTCACATCCTACAGGGACATCTGGAAACCCTTGGCTTCACGCTTCTTTACATTTGTTAATATGGACGGGATTATAGAAGTGTCCCATTTTAATATTTTGTATTCACGCACCAAATGACACGACACATTTAAGCAAACAAAAACTGAAGCGGTTACATGATGAAGCAAGAAAACAAAAGCTGCAACATAAAGGACGTGCATTATGCTGCAGCTTTTATTCATGTCTCTTTATCCTTTCATAACGTAGCCTAGACTTCAATCAACTGTCAGCTTTTTACAGAGAAACCTCAAGGCTCAGTCTTAGGACCAACTTTCTTTACAGTCTACATATGTAATGTAGGTCAGAGCATCCCTGACGCATCCTTACATTTCTATGCTGATGACACAGTTGTTTATTGTCGAGCTAAAACAGTTGATAAGGTTTTCCAGCTTTTGAAATCTGCTTTTGACATCATCCAGTCAGACTTGTTCCATCTCAAACTTGTCCTAAACTCCGACAAAACCAAAGGGATGTTGTTTTCAAACAGGAAGTTGGTCCCAGCAGTTCTTCCATATAGCTGGAGCAACAACACCACCAGCCTGATGAAGAAAGCTCATCAGAGACTCTACTTCCTCAGGCGGCTGAGACGAGCTGGTCTGGAAGCTCAGTCCTCACCTCCTTCTCCAGGTGTGCAGTGGAGAGCATCCTGTGCTCCAGCATCAATGTGTGGCATGGAGGCTGCACAGCTGCAGAAAGAAAAGCTTTGCAGAGAGTGGTGAAGGCTGCACAGAAGATGTTGGAGTCAGCCTCCCCACCATCACAGACATCTACACCTCCAGATGCAGGAAGAGGGCCACCTGCATCATGAAGGACCACACTCACCCAGCACACACACTTTTTGCCCCGCTCCTCTCAGGAAGGAGGTTGAGGAGCATTAAGTGTAGAACCACTAGACTGAGGAACAGCTTCTACCCTGAGGCTGTTAGACTCATGAATCTCTAACTAGAATAATCACTGTGAAAAATCATATCATGTTGCTGCTGATCTGTTCCATGTTGCTGCTGATCTGTTGCAATGTTGTTGCTGATCTGTTGCAATGTTGCTGCTGATCTGTTCCATGTTGCTGCTGATTCAGTGGATTATCATCCAGAGAAGATGTTTGGAGGAAGAAGGGTGAGGAACAGAGCCCATACTGGTTGAGGTCCAGTATAAAATCTCCACAGTCAGTCATGATCTGGGTGCAGTGTCCGGTGCAGGTGTTGGTAAACTCTGCTTTCTTCAATCCAAGGTCACAGCAACAGTCTACCAGAATGTTTTAGAGGACTTCATGAGTCCTTCTGCTGAGGGTCTGTATGGAGATGCAGAGTTCATCTTCCAGCAGGACCTGGTCCCTGCCCATGCTGCCAGAAGCACCAGAACCTGGTTTGAAGCCACAGCCTGACTGGCCAGCCAACTGGTCGGACCTAAACACCATTGAGAATCTATGGGGTCTTCTCAAGAGGAACATGAGGCGCACCAGAGCAACAACAAAGAAGATCTGACAGCATCAAGGAAATCTGGGCTTCCATAACTCCCAGTCAGTGCCACAGGCTGATTGTCTCAATTCCATAACTCCCAGTCAACGCCACA